TTTCATTTCTTGACTAATCACTAATCGAGTTTTTACACTTGTTTTTGCTTGTACTTCAGTCATTAAAAGTGACCACAGACGATCAGTAATTCGTAACATGACATGCAGTTCATCTACAATCCAATGTGTTAATGGAATCATATAAAATAGAGGAGAATGTTCATGACCAGAAATATTCGAATAGTTATTATATATATCTGTAATATTTTTAGAAATATTCCAGTTATAATCTTGAACTCCATTTTGATTTTTATGAATTAAACACCAAAGACAGAAATAATTGGAATTTGCTGCTTTGTGTCCCATACAAATAGCTAAAAACTTCCAATCAGCTGAAAAATATAACTCAATTTGCCATCTCCAACCATCTTTATCAATATATCCATTTATGAGATCATTTAAATCTGCAATTAATGGTGCTAAAGCGACTTTCAATATATTATACTTTTCAACACCAGGATACAATAAAAGAGTAAAATGATGATTCGGATTATATAAATTTGCTAAATCATTTAATAAAGTAAAAGTAACCATGACATGTTTTACTTTGTGCCCCACATTCCTTCCATCTCCAGAAATTCGAATATGTAATATAGAGTCTAAATGATTAATAATACCTTGTTCTAACCAAGTTGGTATAATATATGCAAGAATGTCTTTAATTGATCGATAAGTAGCTTTCCCAATTGAACTTGTTACTTCCTGAATAATTTCTATATTACTAATTGTTTCTATATTCGTTTCTTCATTGTTTTCTTCAGAATAGTTTTGAAATAGTAATAAATTTAAATCAATTAAATGAATTGGAACAAATATTGATATTTGATAATTAATTTGTTGTTGCATTGCAGAAACAGCCCATTCTCTTGGTAGATCATGTCCAATTGCAGCTAATAATCAATATGTATTTCGTGATACTCTTCCAATATCCATTGCTTTTACAACAGCTTGTTTTTGCAAATCAGTATTTTTGCTATTTAACTCTCTATAATTTATATTAAATCTTCGTACACCTACTGAAAAAATTAATCCTTCAAGTGAAACTTTATCTTCTTCATTAAATGTTTGTGATACTTGTTCTTCAAATAAATCTAAAATCTGATTTCCAAATTTTTTACTACGCTTTAACTGCATTGAGTTACCAAGATCTTCAAATGGTTTACATCTTTTTGCTGAAGACCATCTATCCCGAATTTTACTAATTTGTTCTAATTGAAGTCCAAAGACAAACACACCATTTAATTTAGTCTTTTTTTGTTTAGGCTTTTGGCCAGTTTTTTGTTCAATATCAGCAGAAATTAATTTATAATATTGTTGTATATAAAGATTTGCAGTGTTTGATACACTTTTATTTGATGTAACGATTTCAGTATTATTGTTATACATAAATTCAATTTTGAATTCAGGTATTTTATCTTGATATTGAATCAAACATATTATAGTTTTTCGTAATTGGTTACTTCCGAAAGAAGTTTTAACAATATAATTATGAGGAATTCGATATTGGTTTGGCTTTGATGTATAAGCAAGAATATCTTTACTAGGATATATTCCTTCTTGAATAATATCATAAGTAAATATATTGCTTGAAGTTTTTGCTACAATTGTAGAATTTTGCTTATTGGTTTTAGACATTTTATTTTATGTATTGTAAAAAAGATATCAAGTACTAACTCTTGTTATTGTAATTTATTATTAAATACTAATATTAAAGCTAATCACTATTACTATCATCATACGTCAATTAGCATGACTCACATATTTGACAAACAAAATTTTTTGTGATTCCATAAATCTGCTGATATGAGATAATCGATTCTAATAGAAGATATTTAGAAGTTAGGTTAAAAAGGATGAGCATATGTATTTACTAATATACCAATATGGGCAATGCAGATGGTAAACATAAGGTATTCATTCGATATTAATAATTTGTCATTATGAATAATACTACAAGAACAAATTTGCTTGGTGTGTTATAAAAAAAAATCAGTATTGAAAAAAGTAAACATAATGAATCTATTAATTAATCGCAATGAAAATGCTAGTAGAATTAGAGCTGAAAATGCTAGTGGAATCAAAATTGAAGAACACAAAGCTATGCTAGTTGAATTGGTGTTGAAAAATAAACATAAAGTATTTATATAAAAATATGCAAATTTGATTATTAATATATAAATAAATTACTGTCAATTCTATAAATTGAACACGTTTTATAAATGTTATTTTTATATATTGGTTTATTTTATTAATCAAAATTATTCTATTTAGGGGAATTTACACATCGGGACCCAAATTTACAATAGTGAAAATAACATAATTATGTTATTTCCACTTAGTCTAGGTTATTTCCACTCAGGTATGACAACAAAAATGCATTACTGTCATCGGTGTTGTGATGACAAAAATACGTCACCGTTGTCAGAGATATCTAGGTTATTTCTACTCAGGTATGATGACAGAAATATGTCACCATCATCAGTGTAAAAACCCATTAACAAGTTAACAAGTTTCAGCATTCGAGTGACGAATAATACACACTTGCATCATCATTCAAGTGATGCCAAATTTGAGTTCACATCGTCATTTGAGTGATGATTGGTTTATGAATTTGTCATCATATGTCGTGATGACAGAAATGTGACACTATCGTCAATTAATGCTATCTAATTGCTATTAAGTATGCTATCATATGCTATCGGGTATGCTATATTTCTGCTATCGTGTATGCTATATTCACGTTATCTGAACTGCTATCAAATATGCGTTGCATAATTGCTATCAGGTATGCTATCGAGTATGCTATTAAATATAATATCGCTTTATTTTGTCCCTAGTGGCAAGATATATATTTACCTACCTACCTGACTGTAAGTTATACCCCACAATTGATATTTCAGAATGTTGTTAAAATAGATCTGCTCGCGTTCTAATAAAAAATCTGTCCTGGTTTCATCTAGGTAAAAATATATTAACTTGGATGAATAATGTCATGGGAGAAAAAGGTTTATTTTTGTTTTAACTTGTTCTTTTATACTAGTTCTATTTTCGTTTAAGTTGTCTAGGAAAAAAATAGAATTCTAGAAAAAATATCAAACTCTTTTCTATAGTATATACTATATATATACCTTTGGTATATATACGATATATGCTATATATAACTATGTATATGCTCTATATATATATATATAAATATAAGAGTAAAAAAATCTCGAAATTTACTTGGACAACTTGGACGGGTAGTCTAAACTCTTTTCTTGTGGGTCAAATGCATCATCTAGCTATCTTTTTTTGTCCAGAAAAACCGTCCAAGAAAAAATCCATCCAAGAAAAACCGGACTATAACCCCCTAAAAATCTAGAGCAAACTATGTATCTTTTTCTACCACTCTAACACCATTTTGCATTATTTTCTCTAGCTTTTTTCACTAATAATGATCTTGAGATCGATACTTACCAGCATGAGTTCTACATGCACTATATTCAGAATAAGTGAACTTAACACAATCATATTCTTTGCAAGGATAACGAATAGGTGAATTCCAGTGAACTATACATCTCTTAAGTCAATAGCAACCCCAATTGCATACTTTCCCACTTCTAAGGATATAAGGACAATGGTAAAATCCCATATCTATACTAAATTTTTTAATAATATATATGTCTAACACTAATTAACTAAGATAATTAATTTTTATTTTGAACTTTTCTCTAACCGTTTTTATAGTTTTAAAAAAATACCATATGGGCTGCCGTCAATAGAAATCAAGCAGATCTACATTTGAAAAAAAATTAATGCCTTAAATTTCACAGCTCATATCTCGATGAATTTTAAAGCTATATTGATTATTTAACATTCAAAAGAAAGCTTAGATCGTAAGCTTTCTTTTGAATATTAAAACATCAACATAGCTTTAAAATTTATCGAGATATGAGCTGTGAAAGACAAGGCATTAATTTTTTTTCAAATGTAGATCTGCTTGATTTCTATTGACGGCAGCCCATATTGTCATTTGCCAACACTGTTTTATATAGCTATATAGATGTTATAATCTCTATATTTGATTTCAAAAAATTAAATGATTAATGTCTTGACCCTTATCACTTTTAATTTAATACCTTGAAACAGCTGAACTCTGAAATACGACAACGTTAGAATCATATGTGAGATTATTCCAGAATTTATAGTACCGTTGACGAGCTCTTTTCCCTAACATGTATAGTTCATGTTCGCCTCTATCTGTAAGGAGTCCTGTTTTCGAATAATTAAATGGATTTCGCTAAAATAGACTTAAAACATGCTATGAAAGTATATACTACTGAAGAGAAAAAAATAATCATAAATAAAATACCCAGTCTTGCGCTAAAGGAATATTGGCGAACAATTTATCTAGTATATCGAACTTTTTAATGTCACCTTCGGTAGGAAGCCTCGCTCCTAATAGTGGTATAGTTAGAAAATTGTGGATATATATTATGGTTATAATAAGGAAAGTTCACCATGTCGAGCTACTAAGTGTAATTGCACCAATACACACGACTCGGGAGATTCTAGAGGTGGTGTAGTATTGGATGTTATAGGATATAGGCTTTTTGTACCCAAGTGCCTCGTGAAATCGAAACTGCTTAAAGCTTTCGATACAAGCAAAAATAAAATCAAACTGACTTGGACATAAATCATTGCATTCTGGTTGGACATAAATCTGGTTGGACTTCAGAAAATTGCTTAGATTCGGTTAAATGTTGCACTAATGCTTACGGATCCCTCAAGTTCTATTGGCTGGCAGGAAACTTTTTTTTTAATTTTAAATCTATTTGTCACCGACGGTTATCTGTTACTGTCACCGAGACAATCATATTGCACGGTTTAAAAATTTTCAAATACGTATAAAATAGTTCAAATTATGACTGAAACTAATTTTCGTGCTATAACAAAAATATTCTATCATTAATTTACTATATACAGTAACAGTAAGATGACTTACCATAATTATGCTTGTTAATTGCATTAAAAATTATGCTTTTTATGCTAATAACCTCTTAAAACCAGTTTTTTTAAATAGTGATAATGTCACGGCTGATGCTGAATTGGCTGATGCTGAATTGGCTAATGCTGAGATTTAGGATCTCGAAAATATATAAATGTTGTACGTATACTCAAATTATGCTAAATTTTTATGCTACGTAACAAATATAATTATGCTAAATGAAATCCGGTTACTATTACCGCCGGTTACAACCAATTTTTTTGAGATTTTTGGCTCAGCTACTATAACGCTGGTGACAAATAGCTAAGGCTGTTCTCAAACAGCTCCCTTCGATGTGATTTGCTAGTAATCGAAATGCTGCTCAATTATTTCAATTAATCGAAGTATATAATTCAAATAACAATTTGCCAAAAATTAGGTCATGATTAAACAGTCTATTAATTTTAGCCAATCAGATCATTTTATTTTAATCCTGGCGTTGGTAAATTTGATTGATCGATCGCATCACATTGGTTAGCAGCTCCGAATAATTTTAACATAGGTTACATATGAAAAATGGTTAAAATTAATAAAATTTCGACAAATATTGCAAATCTGATTGGTTAAAAAAGTTTTAGCCAATCGAAATTCGATTGGATAAAAGGTCAGAAACCCCAATGTAACCTTAGTATTCAGGGTCCTGTTAAACTCTAATAGAACTAGCCTTGATCATTTAATAAAAGGATTTGTAAAATTTTTATGTGAATAGATGGTAGTTTGCCAGATCCAGAAAAATACAATTTGGACCGTCGGGATTTAAAGTGCCACAAATAAAAGACTCCCAGTGGAGTTCCAGGTTCACCGTATTAGGTTTATGCTTTATATCACTAATTAAAACCTCAATGCTAATTAAAATATTACATCGCTTCTTATCGATCTAAATCCATTATTTGAGCACGTCGCTTATGTACTATATCTCTAATGATATAAAGTATATTTGATGTTATACAAGAAAACATGACTCAATATATATACAAAAAAAAAATTTTTTTAATTATCAAAAGTTTATGCGTGAATTATTATTATTAATAAATCGATCAATCGATTTTGAAAAAAAATCGACCACTAAGTCGAAAATTAACTTTTACCTAATTTTTTCATTATTGGCCAGGATCACTAGTAGAGGGGACCTTATTTGCTTTTGCGATATTTACCGCCAACATTTTTTGCTGATGTGATGATGGTACAATAGTTTTCCGTACAGATCGAATTTCATCTGATGCAAATCCAGGAATACGAATATTCCAATTACGTTCTAAAATTATTGATGAAGAAATAATAAAGATTAATCAGATTTGCATAATTAATTTAGCAAAGGAGTGTGAACCTATAATGATTAATTGCATATCAACCTAAATGGAGTTGAAGATCTTTAACCTCTAAAGTATCAGATTTTCGATGTTTAGCCAAAAGACACGCAAAGGAGCTTACAGAAGTGATGAATTCATCCGCTATTTCTAATAGCATCTAAAAATAAAGGTAAATTACAGAAACGTTAATATGGCTGAAAGAAAATCCAAACCTGCTATCAAACATGGGAAGATCTATTCTATTCGAAATATTTTTTAATATTTCAAACATTAGTCGTCCATAATAAACTGAAAATAATTAACGTACATCCTCCACTTCTGGTTCTAGTCTCTCTTTAGGATCTATTTGATCAACTAGCTGTTGAATTTTGCGTTTTGATAAAGGATGTCTATCCATTTCTTCTTGTTCCAAAGACGCTGGCGTTTCTGGTAAATTCATGCCTAAATTAGGTATGGTGTGCATTTTTACTCCTGGAATTTGTAATTTATTTGTGACAGATAAATGCTGCGGTAATGGTGATGGAAGGCCACTTGGGTTTGCCGGTGCTATCGGCGTAATTTGTCTAATGCCATCTGTGATAGGTTTTGGAATAATTGTAGATGGTGTCGCTTGCACGGAATCAATTTCCATCGAAGGATTGGTTACATGTGAATTTAGAAGCGTCTGTTGTGTTTGAGACAGTTGAGAAGGGTGTTGTGTTCGAGGCGATTGAGGCAAAGGCTGTATTTGATGATGATGAGGTCGAGGTGATTGTGATAGGGGTTGTCGTGGTGATTGAGGTGGTGGTTGTGACCCCGGTGATTGAGTCTGTTGATGTAATCTTGGTGATTGATGTATTGTTTGTGGCTGCATAGTAGTAATCATTGATCCTTCCGCAATGTTATTTGTTAATGGTGAAGAAGGTATAATGGGTGATTGGATAGGTTGAGCTGTAAATTTTATTCGAGTTTGATCAGAAATTTGTAATAGAGATTTTAAATATACAAGCATCCATCGTATAAATAAAACGTTAAATATTTAATCACTAAACTTGTTGGAGATCCTGTCGCTCCCGAATGTCCATGTGTATTGATCGTCATCATTCGTTGAGAATCAGGTATTGGAGATATCATTTGCTGCGGTCTTATATAAGGTCTTGTCGTATTATATGTTGTTTGTGAAGGACCGCTCGTAGGATTTGTTACTCTCGAAGCTAAATTAGGCAAAAAATTTAAAACACTGGTTCAATTTAAATAGTCCTGCTTTTTAGCATTATTCAAATTGTTTGTTACAGGAAACTTTGAATTCTATTAATTTCACCTGTTAATTGCTGATAATTTATTGGTGGTCCTCGTCCAACCATATGTTGCTGATGTTGATGTTGCTGCGGCCTAGCAACAATCTGTGGATTATTTTGATGATTATGCATTGGCGAAGGTACGGACGGCATAGTGGCAGGAATGCGAGACATCTGATTGGGAGAAGGGGTAGTTGCCGGCGACGTGATTTGGTTCGCTGGCGGAACAAATGAAAAACTAGCATGTTGATTGTTTCGCTGATGCTGTTCCAAAGCTTGTACCGTATCCATATACTTTTTGAGATATATCTGACCTTCTGGTGTGTTTTGTCCTCCATGCTGAGTAGCCTGGTTATAATAATCGGTTGCCATTTGAGACAAAGCTTGAGGCAACATTTCATCATTTTTCTCTGTTGATGCGGTTTTGGGACGTGACCCACCCGCCTTTTTGTTTCCACCGGTTTTTTTCTTTGCATTCCCACCTTTTGTAGAAACACTTACAGGCCGTACTGGTACAGTAACTGAAACTTGTGATGGTTGACTTGTAGCTGGCTGTAGTTGAGGGGTTGTAACAGTTTGTGATGTTTGTGGTTGTTGCGGTGATGACTACAAAAGACATTTGAAGATTTACAGTTTTTTTTTTAAGAATTTTGCAACCGCAAATCTATTGCTCTTTGTTGTAAACCCAATTTTGGTTAAATTCAGAGATGACTTACCTGTTGATTTTGTGCCGTAGTCTGTTGTGTTTGTTGTGAACTCTTCTGAAAATTTGAAAATTGATCGTTCGTTGTATTATTATTTGCATTAGCGGTTTGTGAATTAGACAAATTTGAATTTGGCGATTGATTTTGTTGATCATTCTGTTGTGACATTTTCTACTGATTCTATGAACAAGACTTGGAGGTTTAACTTGAAGAATAAACTAAAATTTACGTTTACCGATACAAAGAGAATAGTAAAATTTTTTCTGCTGTTTACTGTTTCACTATTTATTATCACGTGATAATCTATTCGAAATATTACTCTGTTAATATATATATTATCTTGAAAGTATAGCAGGCAAATCTGTTTGCTTACAGATATTATGAATTTATTTCTTCAGTTTATATATTTTGTATTTAATTTTATGTAATTTAGATTTGTTAAAAATTTTTTATTAAGAATTTTTAACTATTTTTATTTTTTTGGAGTTAAAGTACAATTTTAAAAATTAATACAAGATTTAATTTTTATACTAGAATTTTTAAAAATTTTAAATATAGTATTTTTATTATTTTATTTTATTTTTTTTTAATATTAAAGATAAGACCAGTATTTTTATTATTTACGATTTTAATAATATACTTTAATATACTGTATTAAAATTAAATCAGAATAGTAAAATAATTTTACAGTTTTACTAATTAATAATTATACATATATAGTATATAGTATATATTAATATAATTAATATATATATACAGTATATAAATAATATATTATAAAGTACTGTATAATATTATAGTATATATCAAGAACTCTTTTTAATAATCTTTTGTACCAAAATTACAACAAACTTTTTTTAAAAAAACAGTAAACTATAGTAAAAAAAGAAGATCATAAAACTAGTTAAAACTATAAACTAGTATCTGTTATTTAGAAATAGTTCTTATGCTATTATTGTTTTTTTTGTTTTTTTTGGTATTAAAATAAGGTCTTGCTCATATCTTTATTTAATAATTTATATAAGTAATTATATAAAGCTATATAAAAACTTAATTTGTATACTAACAAATAAATATAAATTACATGCAAGAATAAAAGCTTAGACAAAATTATCTATAATCTAAACCTACTAGAGTGGTCAAGACTCACTTAGATTTGAATAGATAGAATATAGTTAATAGATATGCTATATTTAATCTATATAGTAAACCAAATGTTCATTTTTAAAGAAGCCTATTCTAGAACAGATATTAGATTCAGAATATAAATAGTTAGCAAAGCTATAAAGGTAGCTAATAGTAGATATAGTTCTGTTTTTTCTATAATTTCAGAGTGAAGAGAGATGAAGTGATGTATTAGATATAAAGTGAGTCAGAATCTAGATAGCTTTTTTCCAATATAAGAAGTTTATATAATATAGAATCTATATATATATTATTGTAAGTAAAATCAGAAATTTTAAAAAGTATTTATATAATTAGTTGTAAAGCTTGAGAGTAAAAAATATCGAAGGAGTTTAGAGATTAAATTAAGAGTTTGGGGATGAGGCCTTAAAATGTAAAGTAGAGTAAATAAAGATATAAAGTAGAAAATAAGGAGTTAAAGGAAGAGTGAGAGAAAATTATATATACAGTTCGGGACAGTATAAGATATCTATTTTTTACTGCAAAAAGCACCAAATTTTAAAAATTTATAATAAAAATTTATAATAAAAAATATTAACCAATCAAATTTTTTAAAAATTATATATAAACTTTTATAAAATTATATATAAGCGTCAAATTTTTAAAAGCTATATATTTTAAACTGTTATAACTTTTTTAAAATTAAAATTTTTAAAAATTCCTTTTTCAGATTTATTCTTTAGATAAAAAAAAACAAAATTGAAAGAGAAATTTTTATTTTAATTTTTTTTAAAAAAGTTATAATAATTTTAAGCTACTATATAAAAAGTGGATGTCTTATTCTGTTCTGAACTGTATTAAGTTATTAAATTAATATGAAGTAAGATTGAAACTAGTATTAGAAATAATCTCATGAATAGAAGTATTGATATTTTAAATTAGAAGAGTATTATTATAATATGTATATTAGTGAAAAGAAGTATCTAGGCTACTATAGAAAAAGCAGTTAGAAGATATAAATATAGAAGAATATATAGAATAAAAATAAAAATTAGTTGGTAAAATATTTAAAAGTAATTTAATTTTGAAGAATTTTAAGTAATTTAATTTGAAATTGGTAAAATTATATGAAATTTTTTGGTTATTGTTAAAGTATAGCCAGGAGGCTTGCTAGTCAATTAAGTAAGAAAAGTATAACCATTCTTGAACATACTATTGTGAAGACTATAATGTGATAGTACAGTATGTGCTATTATTGTATATAAAACAATTTTGAATATTTTTTTAAATTAAAATTATTTAAAATTTTATTAAGATAATCTATTTTAATTTTTTTATAAATAAATTCAGCATCTAAAAAATATATACAGTAATTATATATATATTATTTTATTAATTATTTAAACTTAAAATATAGATTTGAACAATTTAGATAATTTTAAATATTAAATATTTTATATAGTATAAACATGTTCTATATATAATACTACTTATACAATACTTGTTAACAAGTCCAAAGCTTATTACTTACTATAGTTATAATAAGATATTTATTTAATTGGTTAATTTTAATAGATCTACTTGTAATTATTTATAATAAATTTTTTTTTTTTTCAATATTCTACCTTTATTTATTAAAGTATATATAATACTATTTACAAATTGTAACTAATATTTATTTATTATCTAACCAAATAAAAACTTATTTAATATTAGATACCCAAATACAACTTGCTATTATAATTGTTTATCTTTTTTAAGGTTTTTAAATACAATTTAATATTGTTATAATTACCAGATTGGAAAACAAAATTTTGATAATTATAAAAAGTTGTAATTAAATAAAAATATATTTTATAATAAAAGAACTCTTTCCGCTAATCCTCATTTCCAACATTAAGCAAAAACAAGATATAGCAGCAAAAAGAAATCTAACTTAGATAATAAACAAAACTGCTCTAAGCAAAAGTAAAAAGCATAACAAATAAATGATAGCTGAATAAAAGGTCAAAGTATAAAGGCCAACAACTCAAGCCTCTAGAAAAGAAAATATCTTTGCACTTGCAAAAAAGTGAAAAACTTGGAAAATTGGCCAAAACTCTATAACGCAGATCACAATCTGTAATGCATAACAAATAAGTAAACAAACAACGACATGTAGCTATATTTAAAAAACAGCACCTCATAATAACAAATACGTGAAGTGCAAACAAACAAGCAAACAGATCAACCAGCACATGACTAATATTCAAGATGGAAAGAGCAAGCCGGTTTAAAAACCTTTTCACAAAAAAAAGCCATATTATACAAAGATACATGGCAGAGCTTAAAATTGAAGTGACAGAAAAGAATAAAAACATAGCTAATTGGCTGGGTTTAAAAGACTAGGAGCTAGTATTTTTAATCCATAAGATGACAGAAATCTATGCCTGGATCAAATACAAAAAGGTAGCCAAAAAGGAAATATCACAAGAAGAGTACAGATTTATCCAAGACAAATGTTATAGTGAAATACAACAACATGATATATCTACCCGAAAATCAGTACTAATACTATCAGAATGTGGCATCTCTGATTATGGAACAGAAAAAATAGAAGAAGAACTGGCAAGTCACAAAGCTCAAGAAATCAAACCAGCAGAAAACCAAGAAAACAGATTGCAAGAGGAAAACACCAACCCATATCTGAATCCTACAATAAATGAAAGCACAGAAGATATTACAGAGGCAATCAAAATACAAGAAGTGGCAAAGCTAAAAGCTAAAAAGATCAAAAAGATAAGGGAAAAAATATCGCTTATATTATGGAATATCTCAAACAATACAAAAGCTGTCTAAATCAAAAAGTGCTTAGGCTATTATAGCAGAACAACAGTTAAGGCCTTCATGGCAAATGGCAAAACTAAAGCAACATTAGTAGAAATCAAAACCAAAGATAGCAAGAAAACTACTGCACTGAAAGAAGCCTGGGCAATACACTTCAAAGAAGACTAAATGATTAGAGCTATACAAGGAACATTTGACAAAAATATTCTAGTAAAAAGAAGCCAATACAAACTAACTGCAAAGAAGATTTCCAAAACAGCAATAGAAATGGCACTACTTAGGCAGCTCAAGAATATTAAGGCAAAAGCAGTATACATTTCATCCAACTGCAACAAGAACCAACGTGAGGTAGCAATAGTATACTTTGAATCAGAGAGTGACAAAAATAAGGCCCAAGAAGAAGCAATATACTACTACAATAACAGGCTAGAATGGGTATGCACAGAGAGTAGAGAACCAGAAGATGCCAACAAACTAGCAACCAAACCATGTCTAAAAAGGAAGCCTCTAGAGGAAGCAACTCCATTAATAGCTAGATATAAGTCTAACAAAGAAAATATAAAGATGCAGCCACCTTGTCAAAAAGAAAAAAAAGAAATCAAAAAAGAGAAAGGAAAAGTCTCACCAATCCCAGCAGTACAACCAACACAACCTAACACTACAAAATTCAGAACACAAACAGACCTTATAGAAAAGATTCTACAAAGGCTTATAGTTATTGAAAAAAGACAACAGGGGGTCCAATCCCCAATCACTCCTAACAAGCACCAAGAGCACGCAACAAATAAAGAAGGTGCTGCAACCTAGCAGCAGCACAAATGCAAAAAAGAGTCAAGACAATCTAGAGACGCTAGTAATTGGAACATATAATATAAACAGAATCAAAACAAATTTAACAAAATTAGACCTCTTGATAAATTATATAGAAGAAAATAAAGTTGATATAATTGGGCTTAGTGAAACAAATATAGCAGAAAAAGAAGGGAGATATACAACCAAAAAGTTCAAGAATTTCTAATCCTTCTGGTCCAATACAGAGAAAAATAAGAGCAAAGGCTCTGGAGTAGGGGTGATAATTAGGAAAAAATGGGCAAAGCATGTAGCAAAAACTAGCAGAAGCAGCCCATATATATTAGAAATACTGCTTACATTTAAACAATTCGATCTAGAAGTTATAGTGCTATACCAAGCCCCAAATAACACCAAAGTAGAGAAAG